CAATCTGGACCAGTGTTTTTGAAACCAGTGATTTTCAAACTTGGCAACCTGGCTGGGGAATTCTGGGAGTTGAAGTCCGGACATCTTCAAGTTGCCAAGGTTGAGAAACACTGGTCTAGGGAAGGCCAAGTTACTGCAGGGCAACTCAGCGCTGCTTTAATTGTTTTGTTCAGTTATTATTTCTTGAAATTAATTTAGTTTTGGTGTTTGTTGTATTGTCCCGTGGCGAGTTGACCCATTCCGCTTTTCAGAGCCGTGTATTATGGTTCTCCTGGCTCTGTGCTTGCTTCTTGGCACTTATAAATTGATTTTTTTTTCTTCTTTCTCTGACATTTCTGCTGGCTTGCGAGAAGAGCAAAGGGGAATTTGGAGGGGCTCATATGATGGGATCCACTTGGGAGGTTGCTTAGTGCCCTCAGATCTTGGTGGCTTTCTTGCAGACGTTTCATTACCCAACCAAGTAGCCTCATCAGTGCTAAAAGGGAGAGGGGTGTGTGGAGAGGAGGAGGAGGATCATATGGGGTCTTTGATGCTCTCTGAGCTTCAGACATTTCATTACCTAACTAGGTAACATCATCAGTGCTAGAAGGGGGGGACATTTGCAGCAAACCCCATTCAGCTACGATCTCGGACTTCACCAGAAATCCGGATGGATTTCACCCAGCCGAAACTGTGGTCTAACTCTCGCTTTCTCTCCTGCTTTTCCCAGTTGGAGGAGGTCAGCGCCGGGGTTACAACAATCGAGCCTATGGACAGCAGCAGTACTGGGGGCAACCTGGAAACCGAGGCGTAAGTGCATCTTTTATTTTTGTGGGTTGTCGCACAAGTCAGCCAGATGTTCAGACGGGATCTGGCCTTTCTAGCCACCTCTCGAGTCCTATACGCAAGGACGGGGGTCAGGCAGATGTGGACATTTGATGGCTTTAAAGGTCTCGTCGCAGGATATAAGCTTGTTCCAGTCAATTGTTTGCAATTGACGGGTGTTGAATTTGTCAATGCCGGTGAGTGTTCAGGTGGTTTTGCAGTTGCACCCATGGTGTTTAATGCTATGGTTGCTTATTATAATTCATTTATTTTTATGCTTCCCATGTTCACCGGTAATGACAAATCTGGCTGTCTTTCTTTCCCACGCATTGATAAAGGTGTTTTTCAAAAGCGACAGCACTGTTTCTTTAAAAAATAATTTAAAAATATATATTTTCTGTTGCTTATGAAGATCGTCCGGCGGTGTCTGTGTGTGTGTGTGTCTTGCTTGCTTTTAACCTTGGAAGCTTTTTAAACGTGTGAATGTAGAAGTCTTCTTTGGTAGTTCAACAGTGGCCCTTGCCAGCCGAATCGGCAATAAATAGCAATAAGCCTTGAGCTAGTCAGGATTGAACTGCTGGCAGTGAGCAGCATTAGCCTCAAATGCTGTATTCTAACAGGGAGGAAGGGAGAAGACAGCAATAGCCCTTAGACTTATATACCGCTTCACAGTGATTTATATCCCTCTCTGATCGGTTTATAGGGTCAGCCTCTTGCCCCCAATAATCCAGGTCCTTATTTTACTAACCTCAGAAGGCTGAGTCAACCGGTCAGGATCGAACTCCTGGCAGTTGCATTCTGCATTCTAACCATTGAACCACCATAGCTTTTAAAGAATTATGGGACCATTAATCCCCCCCTCCCCCAATTAGTTCTAGGGCAGCGGCCTCCAACCTTTCGGACTCCAGGGATCAGTTCCATAGAGAAAGGATTTTCCATGGGCCAGAGAGGCAGTGTTTTCCGGTGACGCCTGCATCCAATGGATGGGGCTTCGCTTGTTTGGGCATTCCAGTTTCTGGCGTGTCCATGGACGGGTAGGTGGGTGGGGGGTATTAGGGACCCCTATTCTAGAGGATGCAAAAGCCAAAGGAGTTTGGAAACAGAAGCCTTGGTACCTTTCGTGGTCTAAGGAAGGTGCTGAGAAACTCAGGGCAGTGACGTTTGAGCAAGCCATGGTCTACGATTGAGGCTTCTGACCCAGTGGTGCTCGGGCATCGATGCTTCTAACCGACATCTTTTAACCCCACAGGGTTATCGCAACTTCTACGACAACTACAGAGGCAGGGATTACAACCGCTTCTACGGGCGCGATTACGACTACAACAGATACCGGGACTACTACAGGGACTACAACCGAGAGGTAAGAGGTTGTAAAAAAGAAAAAAAAAATACTTCCAGGGCAGAGTTACAAGTAGTCCTCGACGTACGACCATAATGTTTTGTCCGTGTGTCAGTCCTTAAGTTGCCGCTACCCTTCCAACAAGGATTTGACTACAGGCAGTGCTGACTTATGACCACAGTTGAGCCCAAAATTTCCACTGCTAAGTGAGACAGTTAAGTGAGCTTTGCCTCATTTTACGACCCCATGGTCCCACGATCAAAACTCAATTGATCACAGGACCATGGGGTCCCATAGATGCGAGTCAAGCTCAATTGACTCACATCTACGACGGTCGCAGCGTCAAGTGATCCCATTTTGAGACCTTCTGACCAGCAAGAATCAATAGGGCAGCCAGATTTCAGCGAACAGCAGTTTGACTAATTTGAACAACTTTGGTGATTCTATTAAACAACCGTGGCAAGAAAGTTCGTAAAAATGGGGCAAACTCATTTTAACAAATGTTTCACTTAGCAACAGAAATTTGGGCCTCCATAGGTCTAGGACTAGGGCTCAGTCGCTGAGTTTGTCAATCAGAAAGGTTGGCGGTTAGAATCCTGAGCTCCATGTAACGGAGTGAGCTCCTGTTAACTTGTCCCAGCTTCTGCCAACCTAGCAGTTCAAAAGCAGGTAAAAAATGCGAGTAGAAAAATAGGAGCCACCTTTGGTGGGAAGGGAACAGCGTTNCTTCTGAACTAGTTCAGAATATCATTTTCTTTATGGTAAATGATTAAGGCGAAGCGATGTGCGCCTCGTAGCAAGGCTGTGCATCCCACTGTGTTTTATTATTATTCTTGCAAGAGAAAGGGGTTACTTCGGCCTCACGAGGCAAATTTTGATGTGATAAGAGTTTTATAGAAGTAGCAGCATAAAAACTCTACATAGCAGTCAGGAGACAGACATGCTGTTTTGCAAGCCTGCTGCTAAGAGGATAATACAAGTATTAAAGGCAAGGAAGGGCTGGTTATTAAAATATGGCGTCCGCAGCATTTTGGAAAGAAGAGAGAGATGTCCTCAGTTCCTGGCAGTTCTTGCTCAGTGACATCCTTATATATACACCATATTTTTTGGCTCATTTTGGGGGCTTTTTTCAGCCCATTTTCAAGGCTTTTTGGCTCATTTTTTAGGCTTTTTAGCCCATTTTTCTTCCAGAAAAAGAGTTGAAAAAAGCCTCAAAATGGGCCAAAAAAAGCCTAGAAAATGGGCTGAAAAAAGCCTCAAAAACAGGCCAAAAAAGCCTCAAAAAAGCCTCAAAAAAGCCTCCTAAATTTAGGTGTGTCTTATAATAGGTGCATCTTA